AAGCTGGCTTTGAACTTATTTACTATATAGCTAAAGCTAGCCTCAGCCTCCCAAGTGCTGGATTACAGGTGTGTGCCGCCACACCTAGCTGAATTTCCAATTTATTAAACCAATTTCCTTTACTCATACCGTGTCTTACTAGATATATTTGAAAATGTAAAAATCTATCCTAGCTAATAAGAAAGAAAAAATTAGAGGGGTAAGAGACAACTGAACGGTCAGAAGTTGGACCATGTGCCAGCATCTCCTTTACAGTCCCTGAATTTTGCCTCTTTACTCTTGTTCTCCTTTGTCATTTTTGTTTTGGCTACATCCTGACAGTGCCTTTCCTTCTGTAAAGCATGTAGGCTTCAGGAACTAGACCATGAAGTAAGAGTGCAATGGCTCTTCCTCTCATACCCATGTGCTTAGTTTGTACTGTTTGGTTTTTGTGCTGATTGAATCCATGGCCTTCCACATGTGAGGCAAGTGCTTTACCACTGAGCCCCATCCGCATCCACAAGTTTGTAATTTTGTTAGTATATAAGTATAAATAACTGGAATGCTTTTTGTTATGATTATTTGAATATTTGTTTCTTTTAATTTTTAATGCATGGCATATAGTCAGTAAATATTTTTACTTTGGTTGAATTTGCCTCTGATGCATATTTTCTTCATAGATGATGTCCTAGATTTTGTAAAACCTTTTGGAGTTTGAAAATAGCCTTCTTTACTGTACATTGTTGCCTAATTTTCTGCACCATGATCAAATTCAGTCAATATATATTCACAAATATGCATATTATCATATATACATACAATATGTCATACATACAGTATGTGTACATGTGGTATATGAATATTGTTCTGCTCTTCTTCTTTTTCCAGGAATCAAAAAGATCAGAATCTCTTATGGACATTCATCATAAAAAGTTAAAGAGTAAGGCCACCGAAGATAAAAATAAGCCCCAAGAGAGAATACCATTTGACCGTGATAAGGATCTCAAGGTTAATCGATTTGATGATGCTCAGAAAAAAGCCCTAATAAAAAAATCTAGAGAACTGAACACCAGATTTTCACATGGCAAAGGCAATATGTTTTTATAAGTAAGTATATGTCTGGAGGGTATATTTTCATACTCATCAACTTGAACCTTTCTGAATATACTTGTCTATAATAATTATGTACTGAAAATATTTGCTTTTATAATAAAGTAAATTATAAGTCTACATTTTTTGAAATTAAGTAAATGGAATTGTTGAAAAATCAGTCTTATGTGGTTGCTATTAAAAATGTTAAAATAAAAGTTGCATGTATGAGAGATAGCAAAGTAGTGTGGTTTGAAGATTAAATATGCATGCTTTATTAAAGAATGAAGGAAGGGGCCAGGAATATAGTTCAGCAGCATAAGCACCTGCCTGGCAAGTTGCAGAGTCCCAAGTTTAGTGCCCAGTACAACAACAACAACAAAAAGAATGAAGGAAGGAGGTTTGCTGGTAGTTTTTATTTTTTTAAATAAGATCACAATTAAAAAATGTGCATTTCTTTGGATGGCCATCTTAAATTTTGTTTACTATTCATTCACAGTGCAATCTGACTAGGGCTTTAGTGATAAAGGAATTGTATAAGAGGTGAGGTTGCTTCTTAAAAATTTATGGGAGTTGGGAAGATAGCTCAGAGGCATAAGCACAAATCTGGCAAGCACAAGGACCTGAGTTCAGTCCCCAGCCCCACATGCTGTGCAGGCCCCAAAACGGGGCATGGCGGTACACATCGGCAATCCCAGAGCTGGGAAGGTTGAGACAAGAGGATCACTATGAGTCTAACCTGCGTAGCAAGACCCTATATCCAAATAAATAAATAAATACAGACAGACTTTTCATTTCTTCTTTTTTTCTTTCTTTCTTTTTTTTTTTGTTTTTTTTGTTTTTGTATTTGGTACAGTGTCTCACTATGCAGCTTGTACTCATAGTGATCCTCCTGTTTTCAGCCTTAGTCGAACTCAAATGTGATTTTTTTTTCTTCTTTATTTTCTTTCTATTTTTTATGTATTTGGTACAAGGTCTCACTACACAGCTCAGACTCATAGTGATCCTCTTATTTTCAGCATCCACGGTGCTGGGATTACAGGTGTGCACCACCACGCCCAGACTTATTCTCAGCGTGCCCTGTGGGACTGGGGATCAAACCCTGGTCCTTGCACTGGCCAAAGCAGGCATTTAGTCTACTGAGCTGTCTCATTGGCCCGGAATGTGACTTTTTAACTGTATGAACCCTACATCAATATTCAAATGTGACTTTAAAAGAAAATATAGCCAAAGTTGGAAATGTTTTCCAATTCATGAATTCTCTTACATAAGTTAGCTTGAGATTCCCATGTAAAAGGAAGAAATTTTTTTAATCTCTGTCCACTTTTTGCCTTTGTTTTGTACATCTTAATATTAAGGAATAGTATTTATTTTAATTACTACATATTTGCAGGATATAGTAAGTGAAAAGTTGACAATACACAAAACACCTAAGTCTTTTTATATTTCCTTCCTCTCCCTCCATCTCTTCTTCCCTCTCTCATTTGCGAAATATTTTTGTTTCTTCTTTTTTTTATTATTTTTATTGGGAAACAAATAGCAATGAGACAGTTTTACAACTGATTACTACTACATTTTCAATAATTAATACATTGCATATTGTTGTCTTAGTGGTTATTCATTGTACAAGATGCAGACCTGATATCCTGTCTCAAACACTACTAGAACTAACCTCTCTATTCATTGAATAAAGAGAATGGAGCTATATATCTATCCTAACTATTTTGAGTATACAGAAACAAAATGGTCGTTCATTTGTATCCCCCTGTTTTGGTAAGTTTTGTCAGAGAAGGACATTCCATTGTCATTTAAATAGTGTAGATGCATAAATTCAACAAAATATCCCAATATAGTCCAATAGTGCATAATAGTAGTGGGTTTTCCATAAGACTGTCAATGTCCGAAGTTGTTGACTTGACTTGAATATTTTATAGCTCATTATATTAATATGGCTTTACTTTTTATACTTCATTTTCATACTTTTCTGCTGGATGGTTAAGATCAAGATAAAGCAAGACCTATATAACAAGAAATGTAACTTTTGTATCTCATAAGGTCAGTCATATCCCCTCAGGATTTAACCTGAAACCCTATACCTCAGTTTGTAGATCCTTTGTCAGTGTCAGCCATGTGGATGAGTCATGGCCATTGCTTGACCAATTTACTCTCTGTGAAAGCTTAAAAGAATTTTCTCTCCATGTGACTCTCCTTAGGCACACTCTACATCATTGATCACATTGATCTGTGGCCCCATAATATCATTGATCAGAAAATTTGGGACACAATTGAGTTACAGGATGTTACAGTACAGGTTCTCCTATTTCCTGAGTCCTTACTGACCTTGAAAGGCTAGGGCCAAAATGTTGGCTGTCTTGTAGCCCTTCTTTTCCTTTAATTTTTGGTCTGCAAACTTGTTAACCCTCCAGAAGAGAAGTTTAATGATATTCTTATCATTTGCAAAATATTTATCTCCCTATAAATGAAAATGAAAGACAAAAGTCACAGGACTGTCCTGTAACAATACTGTATATGGTTGGATTTCTAAATTTCTGTATAAAAATATGGAACTGTTTATTCCTAATTTTTAAATATTTTTTCATGTTTTAAATTTTTTGTTTCATATTCTGGAGTGATTTAAAGTTTATCATATCAATACTTGATGGAAAATACCTGTTCCTTGGTATGCCTAAGATGTCTGATATTCAGAAAGATACTGAGGTTAAGCTCAACTGCCTATGTTGTAGGGTAATACTAATAAGCTTCTCTTCTGGAGGGTTAACAACCTAAGTTTGCAGACCAAAAATTAGAGGAAAAGAAGGTCTGCAAGTACAGCCAGCATTATGGCCCTAGCCTTTCAGGGTCAGTGAAGACTCAGGACATAGGCAAACCTGTACTGTAGCATCATGTAACTCAGTTGTGTCCCAAATTTTCTGTTCAAGGAGATTATGGGGCCAAAGAGGAAAATGAGCGATGATGTAGCATGTGCTAAGGAGAGTCACATGAAGAGAAAACTTTCTCTCAGGCTTTCACAGAGAGTAAATTGGTCAAGCAATAGCCATGACTCATCCACATGGCTGACACTGACAAAGGCTCAACAAAATGCGGTATAGGGTTTCAGGTTAAAACCTGAGGGGATTTGACTGACCTTATGAGATACAAAAGTTACATTTCTTGTTTTATAGGTCTTGCTTTATCTTGATCTTAACCATCCAGCAGAATGGTATAAAAATGAAGTATAAAAAGTAAAGCCACGTTTAATATGCTTAGCTGTAAAAGGCTCAAGTCAACAACTTCGAACATGGCCAGTCTTATGCCACTGCTGTTATGGGCTACTGGACTATATTGGGATATTTTGCTGAATTCATGCACCTTCAGTATTTAAATGACAGTGGAGTGCCCTTCTCTGACGAAAGTAACCGAAGTGGTGGAATAGGAATGAACAACTATTTTGTATCGGTATTCTCAAAATATTTGGGATAGATGCACAGCTCCATTCTTTTAATTCAATGAATAGAGAGGTTTGTTCTAATAGTGTTTGAGACAGGATATCATGTCTGCATCTTGTACAGTGAATGACCACTGAGACAACAGTATGCATTGTATTAATTGTTGAAAATGTGCTGGTAGTCGGTTATGGAGCTGTCTTGTTGCTAATTGTTTCTCAATAAAATTATTTAAATTTAAAAAAATTATCTCCCTGTTTCCTTCTTTTATTTCCTTCTTCAAATTATTTATATTTCATGTGTGTGTGTCTGTGTGTCTGTGTGTCTGTGTATCTGTGTGCAGTACCAGGGATAAAACTCAGGACCTTGTGCTTGTCAGGTAGGTACTTTGCCTCTGAGCTATCTTCCTGGCCCTATATTTTGGGTTTCTCATATGAGGGAAACCATTCAATATTTAAACTGTGTATCTGATTTATTTCATTTAACCTTATTGCCCAGGGTACATTCATTTTCCTACAAATGACTTAAGTTTCTCCATCATGGCAGAGTAGTGCTCCATTGTGTATAAGTAACACATTCTTTATCCATCTGTTGCTAGACATACAGGCTTGCTTTCAAGATTTAGCTGGTATGAGTCATGCTGCTACAAGCATGGGTATGCATGTACCCTGCAGTAGGGTGTCTTTAACTCTTTTAAGAAAATCCCTAGGAGGGAAATAGCTGGGTTTAATAGAATTTCTATGTTTACCTTCTTAAAGAATTTCCATGTTGATTTCTTTTTCTTTTTTTTTTTTTTTCTGTAATTTTAGGGAAGGGTCTACAAGTTATTCAGGATCTTACTACTAGGTTGGACTCTTAGTGATTCTCCTGTTTACAGCCTCCCAAGTGCTGGGATTACAGGCGCGCACCACCATGCCCAGTTTCAATCGCCATCTCAATGCGCCCCAGGGGTGGGGCCGGCCCAGCAGGCCCAGGGATCGAACCCCTGGCCCTTGCACCTGCTTGCAGATGCTTTAATCTGCTGAGCTATTTGGTCGGCCCTATCCATATTGATTTCTATAACAGTTGTTCTAGTTTGTGTTCCTACCAACAGTGTACAAGAGCTGCTTTTTCCCCCTGCCTTGGCAACATTTATTATTTGATTTCTTGATGATGGCCATTCTTTATAAAGTAAAATGGAATCTGTGTTCTTTTAACTTGCATTTCTTCTCTAGGGTCCAGAGGTGTTGAACATTTTTTCATGTATTTGTTGGCCATTTGTACTTCTAAGAATCTTCTGGGAGATATAATAGAAGATTGTTTCTCTGTTAATACTGTATTTAAATATTTGGTAATTTTAATTTTTATTACATTGTGAGAGATATGGGTCTAGATTCGGATCTTCTGCAATGTGGATGGCCAGTTTTCCTGGCACCATTTGATAAAGGGTCTGTCTTTTCTCTACCATGTGTTTTTGGATCCTTTCACAGAGATCATGTGACTGAATGTCAGTTTGGGGATTGTAGTCATTTTTTTTTAATGTATTTAGTACAGGGTCTTACTA